TCTCTCTCTCTCTTTGGTTGGCCAAGTTTGTGTGGTTCAGCGCCAAGTGGCCACACACCTGTTTGCGGCTGAAGCGGCACATTTGCACATATACATATATGCATATATTTATTTGATCCATAGAGGGTGGAGGTCAAGAAGCAACTCACCTAAAACAGAGGATTCCACCAGAAAGAAAGCACCGACCCCATCTGCCATAGGTCGGAAATAACTTTGGAGAGCCCTCGGCCCACAAAACGATCTGTGTGTGTGTGTGTGTGTGTGTGTGTGTGTGTGTGTGTGTGTGGTTGCATATCTGTGTGTGTGTGCGGATGAGAAAACAGAGCGGCAAAAGGTGGCACATTGAGCAGCTGATATACTGCAGGTAACAGATTGCAGTCCAGCTCTTAACTCATTGTGATATCTGTATTGTCTTTTTTGTATTATCTGTCTGCTTGTGTCAGAATTTGTTCCCAGTGGAGCAGCTCGGTGCGCCTTATCGGGCTTTGCGTGCGTTCCGGCCGCTCATATTCCTTGAGACGTCACAGATTTTGGGCTCTCCATTTCTGCAGGTACAGGACCGTCTCTCTTTTGTTTTCGACTTTTTCGTGGACTGCCATTACATTTCCCAGGTGTCTATTTCAACGTGGTGGCGAACACGCTACGTCCTTTGGGGCTCAGCCTATGGAAGGGCGAAGGCTGCCGGCGAAGGGCAAAAAAAATTTAAGAGATGCGATTTCATCATTTCACACCCGTGATGATTTGGCTAAAGCCGCTAAACTTGGTGTGTAGCAGAATTCGGTATCGGGAAAAAGGGGCTCGGATGAACTGGTGGCTCAAGAGTCAAGAGGTGAGAAACAAACACAATCACAAGCCGATATTCGACAATGATTGAAGTCCAATAGAAAGACAATGGAATCAGACATAACATGTGCTGTGGAAGTGGCTTAACCCAAGGGAACCGCGAAAACGGTCTCGAGAATTACCACCTTCCCCCGCCTTCTTCACCCTCAACTTACTCCGTCGTTCCACTAACCCAAGCCGGAGTCACCCCCGACGCCATGTCGATGAAAGAGGACGAGTATGACCAACAACAAACTATTAATAGTCTAGCTATCTCTACTTCCTACGTGCCTATGAGCAGTGCTGCAGTGAATTTCCACATATCATCCCGCGCCCTGGCGAAGTTTCCCAGTACCATTTCAAAAAAGTGGTCCGGGAACTTTTTTGCTCTGTACTCTTTCCGCAACGTCAAGACTTGTCGCAGGATACTGGTCCTGACCGTAGTGTTGCGGTCGATGTGGTGCAACCATCCGGTTATCGAGGCCGCCTTTTGCTTCCTGCTGGACCAGGAGTTGTAGTCCTGTCCGGATTTGAACACTACTTCGCTGGAGGTCCACATAGTCTCCTCGTTCTTTGTACGCTGAATACTACCCAAAAATGGGTAGTCCTTTTGCACCTCCATTTTGCACCCCAAGAAGCCCAGGTTCCTGTTTTTTCATCCGTTCTTTTCAGGGTCAATGCCTTAGGGTAGCAGCGTCCGAATTTCCTCCGGATCCGGTTAGCCGTACCGATAGACGCTGAGTCTCCGCTCCGATAGGCCAAAAATAGAGACACATCATCCACTAGCCTAACACCAAAGACTAACCTACGATCGTTTCCCAAGTTGACGAGAAACCGCCACTCCGCATGTGCGCACATAACACATGCAAGTGGCGGACTCGTGCTTTTTCCCATAGGGATACCGAAAACTTGTTGCAACAAAATGTTCTGCGCTCGAGTGTACGTGTGCGATAATTCGAAAATTACAAACTGTCGAATGTCTGCTAATCAAGAGTCAATACTTTTTGTTTTTCTTTTTGTTTTTCTCTTAATGTACATGACAAACAGCAATATCTCGCTTCCGTTTTTTCGTACTTTTTTTATCTGTTTTCGTCCTTTTTCAGAGATATCGCTGTGCAATGTTGGGTGCTGCAGAAGATATTTTGTTAATTTTTGGGAATTGTGGGGTCTCTTGAACTGCTATTGAATGGTAGGGCATTCATCTTTAGTGTTTTTTTTTAACTTTTTTTTTTATGTCTAAAACAATTGAATGGGTATGACACAGTGGAGCTGTGACGAAGTGCTCTTATTTGGTGTATGTATTCTACTATCTTCGTCCTCATGCTCTCACAGTCTTTTGCCGAGCGGTTCTTTCTTCCTCTGTTCTTCTGTGCAGGCCCTGCCACCAAGGTGCCGAGTCTGCTGACCCTTCCATGGGGCCTTCTGCTGATCAATTGCATGCCGTGTAATCGCCTTGTAATAGGCGTGTATTCATCTTCAAATTTCAATATATATTATATATTTTTTTATTGAAATTTCGGAAATTGTGGGGTTTCTTGAACTGCAATTGGGTGGTGGGGATGTGCAGGAACTGCCACCTAGCGTCGTTCTTCATCACTTGTACTCCCGTGCGCCCGAGGAGCTGCTCTCTCCACACAAACAAGCTAATTTGAGTCCTCAGCAGTACTCTCTATGGCTGGATCAGGTAAAATATGTAGTATCCCTCTGGAAATTGTGATGGAAGCAAGAAAAGCTTGACAATCTTTCAGAAAATTCTGAAGGCTTTTTCGGAGTTTTCTAAGCCTTGTCAGGCTTTTCTTCTTCCTCACCGAAAGAAATGACCAAAAAAAGGGATGAAAGTTCATGAAACATTGAAAGGCGAATCGAAAATACTAAAATACTAAAAATAGTAAAATAATAGAATATACATAATGAGATATCAACTATGTAATATGTATAGGTTTTTAAACTTTTTTTTTGTCTAGCATGGACTCGCAGGTGCATGCATCTCTTATGAACTTCCGGCTTTGCAACTGCAAACTGCAACGGCATCGCTCTTCTGCCAATTACTGCTGAGCAGCTGAAGTAGTTTCCGCTCAACTGTACTGAGTCTGTGCCTTATATGCTCTAGATTGTCTGTGTACTCATCTCCTCGAGTCCGGATCGGTGATTCTGCGGTGCTCCTCTCGTCAGTCCAATGTGGAGATCCTACGTCCCTTCAGGCCGAGAGATTTTAATCAGAACTCCATAGCCGCTGGATGTTCCAAAAGGGAATGAAAGGATGGATGGGTATGTATGATGGGATGGATGCCGCTGTAGTTTGCCTGGTTTGTGAGAATGCCTGTGCGGTGAGAATGCAGTGAAGACTAGGAATGCACAAAAGCAGCGGTGTAATCTGCACGTGGAAGTGTGGGTCATCCAGGTGCATTCTGATCGGGGTAATGTGATAGGGAGGGAGGGGAGGGGAGGGAGGGAGGGGAGGGAGGGAACTGAATGAGTGGGTGCGTGAAGGAGTGAGCCAAGGAATGAAGAAACAAGCAAACGAACGGGTCAATGAAGCCACGAAGCAGCGAGAGCAAAGCAAGCAAAGGAAATATCAAACGAACCAGCAAGCAAGCCTGCAAATGAACGTCGTAAACGGATTCAGTAAACGAACAAGCGAACAAACGAGTGAACAAACAAGCCAACAAGCGAAGGCAAATGAGCAAAAACAGACTTAGCAAACAAGCCTAGCAAATGAACAAGCAAACCAATGAGCAAATGGACCTTGAACAAGCGAACAAATGAGCGAATGAACCTTGCAAGCAAACCGAGCGAACGAATCTAGAAAACGAACAAGTAAACCAACAAGCAAATGAATAAGCAAATGAATAAGCAAATGGACAAGAAAATAAACAAGGGAACAAGCAAAACCCATGAGCAAGCGAACCTAGCAAATGAAACCTACCAAAGGAACAAGTGCACAAACAAGCAGACAAGCGAATGAATGTGTGAGCGAGCAAATGAGAGAGGCTCGAAGGGATGAGCAGGCGTTGACCCCATGTTGCATGATAAAGATACAAGTCACCATTAGGGTGTTGTTGAGGAAAGGAAAAAAAAAAAAAAAAAAAAAAAAAAAAAA